GAATCTCTCTGTATTGTGCGTTAACAAACGAATTCATATGTATCTATTTTACTTTTATTTTGGTAAATTCACGTACAATTTTTGTTTTATTCAAAAACGGAAGGAATTGATTAAAAAAAACTCAGGCACATTTCCAACAGATTTATTATTAAATCATGAATGTAACTATTTTTTACAATGAGCAGGGTATTACCTCTTGAATAGCGTATGTCCTTTTTATATCGGCCAGGCCGTTCTCTTTAAGGACCTCATCAATTAGTTTAGCTTCCTTTTCTGTGTAGCTTCTGTACCTGCTCCTCGCGTATAGTATTTCTGGAAAAACGAAAAATAATTGAAAAAGAACTAACGATGGATTTTTACAAAAGAAACTAAGAAATGATCAAGCAGAAATTAAAAACAATCATGCACATTAATAGTTAAGCGACATTTCGCCTTTTTATTAAGACTTCCTTCTACTAAAATTAAAGAGAACGTGTGTGAAGCGTTGAGTAAACTTTAAGTACATAGGTATATGCTATCTACAAAATCTTTCAATTTTTGTCATAAATATAAACTTCCACGTTGCCTTTATGAGATTTTAGAAAAACAATTACTTTATTGCTGTGGAGGAGGCGTGTTTAGAGAGTAAAGACAGGATATCTTCCGTTTGTAAGAACGAGAAAAACGATATGCCTTTAGTGTGCATTATTTATTGGGGACTTTGCCTTCTTATTTCGACTATACTATAGTTCAGAATCCTGTTGCTAGAATTATGATTGTATATGAACTAATAGCCCAGTGAGGTGCCTTCCATTCTTACCAGACTTATCATCACTGGACTTCTTGTTTTGAGAGCACATTAAAAATAAATTATACAAAAAAAAATCAGGAGGAATTAAAATAAACTAAGATAAAATTTCATAGTGTGTAAATTCAGTTTCAAATATTCATATTCATAATTTCTTACGCCATACTTATTATTGACAGCATTGCTTCATATTACCCAAATCAAATAGCACACGTATGGTTTAGTACATCTATTACATTATTATTAGCTACTAATCTTTTATTTAGTTCTGAGAAATTTAAGTAATCTCTTACAATTTTTTTACAAATCAGTCATCAAGTAAAATTTTTTGCATTATAAATTGATCAGCAAAACCATCTTGGATTTTTTTTAGACAACATTAATTAGAGGAACATGTTTTTATAAGAGATTTGTAAACTTATCATTTATCATATTGATGCAGCTTGAACAATAAGCGGTAACAAGGACTTTATCGGCAAAAGCACTTTAATGATAACTTTATAAAGCGAGATTCCATCAAGAGCTATACACTAATGTTTTTGCCACGATTAGAAATGAAGGAAATTATTTTAATCTTCATCACATTTTCCTTAGTGACGGTAAAGCAATGATATTCATTTGTAAATCTAAATCAGTTGCGACTTAAATATTTGTGTCCTTTGTAGGCTCATGTAACCAGAAAATGGCCTAAAACTATACCTGTTGCATCCTCTGATGATACCACAAGGATCGTGGGAGGGAATGAAGCTGTACCAAACTCTATACCATACCAAGTAAGCACCGAAAATTATTTGTTTGATCAAATTTTTTAGAGGTTAGTCAGTTCTATCCCTACATATGGTGTTAAAAAAAATCGGTTGTCTGTAAAGTCGGTTTACTGACAATAGTTGAACGTGACAACATCATAAGAAAATACTGATGGAATGGTTTCATTTTTCAAAAGAAAATTTTAATTTTATTTGTTTGATAGATATTTTGTATGGATATAGACAAGGAGGGTAAATGGAAATCACAATTGAATTGATCAAGTTACATTTATTTGTACGCATAAATACAATTATGTCAATTTTTATTTATTTTTTTTCCAATGTACATAGTTTTTACAAGTACGAATGTGCTTGGAGCAATTGTTTTACAACTTTTATTCATGTTTTTTCGTGCGTGCAGCCGCTCCATCGAATTATAAGACGTTGTCACGTCAAAAGAAATTTATGAGTTTGCTTTCAAAAGGAAGCAGTTGAAACTGTCATATCGATCCAAAATGTTTTTCGTTGTTCTTCACGTTTTAGGTTATTCACTCCCAATTTCTAACAACCCAAATTTTGAAAAGGCAAAATTTTAGGCAGGAAGGATTTGGATAGTTTCAAATATTTGTTTGATTTATGGGGCATAAATTTCTAGGGAGATTGTAGAAGTTTTACAGCACAAAATTTAAGAGGAACAGATTTAAGTTTAAGAGATATAAAAGTTTGGGGTGAACAAATTCGAAGTAAACTTCTGCTCTGCAATTGTTCGGGTGGGGTTAGCCTCGTAAGGGTTCGTATCAGAAAATATCCTGCTGCTAACTATTAGTAGTGCAGAATAAAGCGGCATTACCAAAACTATTCAGCGGTGCTATTTGTTATTGAGATAAGAACGCATAGACGTATAATTTGCTTTTGAATTTTGGACTATGTACATCGAACCCGTTTTCTTGAAACTATCTTAACTGTCTCTGCATTATGTGATCTGTGTTAGAACACGAAAAACTACAGCTTAAATTAACTTGAATATGTAAATAATGGGGTGGAGTTTTTTTTGTGTTTAGATTATTCTCGAGGAGAGGAAATCTCCAAAAGACACTTCCCAGTAGGGGGTAGTATCGGATTATTACCGACTAAAACCCCTCCTCGAGTGGGGAGATAAACCCCAAGGTTGCTCATCCCCTGAGGGAAAGGTTGAGATTGGGAAGGGGATTGAGATGGGAAAAGGGTTGAGTATGTGGGGAGAAGGGAGTATTTGGGGAGGAAAACCGTCGAAGTAAGTGGTCCACCTCCAAAGTGATGGGTGGATATTCGCGCTAAAAGCGAAGGGGGTGAAGTGTGGAAATCCCTTCCTAAATATTATGGATTAGAAGCTTCATTGGTCATTACAAATGGGGGTGGCTCTGGTAGATACAAAAGCTCTAAGAGTTCACCATCTGACCCATTTCAGAGTGAAAGTTTAAACATATATTGGACAATAAAACTGAACGCTTTGGGCTCTTAACGGACGTGCACATCACAATATATGACTTTATGACAGTCTTCTTGCTATCAACCCTGACCAATTTCTGCACACCTTTAATCTTGATATTTATTACAGTGCCATTCATAACACTATTTTTACGTATATGCACAAGACAAATCCTTCTCGAAATCGAAACAAAAGATTTTGATTATGAAAGAAACTATTATTTCAAAAAAGAAACTGAATTTTGAGTGAAACGAACCGATGAATAGGACTCTAACAGCAATAAACGTTTTTTATTTCTTTAGGCCGCTATGCTCCTTTATTACGAGGATGAAGCCGATACAAGTTTCTGTGGAGGATCTATAATCAGCACAAGATACGTATTAACAGCTGCACATTGTTTAGTGGATGGGTATGACATTTGCTGTTAATTGTTATCTTTAGATTTTGTCACATCTCGATTTTTGTTCTTTTTTTATCAGTCTTATATCGGCGGAAGTAATTCTGGGGGCGCATAACTATCGTGAAACTGAACCTACCCAGCAACGCATTACAAGTACAACGTTCACAGTACATGAAGAGTATGACGGAGAAATACTAGAGAATGATTTAGGCCTCGTCTATCTTCCAACACCAGCTAATCTCAATGGTAAGCACTTTTATTGATTTAACTTTATGCTAAATATCAATTAAGTATAACAAACTTCGACGGGTAGCATATCGTCGGCTTCATCTATATTTTTTGTTTTATTTAATTGTTACTATATTTATATCACAAAGTTTGAAGAAATTAAAATAAAGTCGTCGTAAGAAAGCCTTTTCAAAAATTCAACTTTTGGGCCCACCATTTTGTATAACCATTCTACTTACAAATACTTATTCACTTGTGAGTTAATATTTGTATAGACTTCACCCACTACAGATAACCTCAAATTAATGAAGAAATGCATTGAACTTAACCCTACAAAAATTGATTATACATCGGTTCGACGATTCTGCAGCCTATACTTTTAGGTATCGTCAGTGTTGCTTCTGTCACTTCATCATAGCTTAGTGGTAGAGTACTGATCCGTAAAACCAGGGTTCGATTCCCGGCATGTGAATTACAGAAGCAACAATTTTTCCTCATTAATTTGAGCTTAACTGCAGTGGGTAAGGTTAATTCAAAAATTAGCTCATTAATACATTGAATTTAACCTTAAAAAAATTCTCCGTAATTTATGTTTGTTTTTTTACCAAGCATAATTCAATTTTTCAGAGTACGTTCAAATAATTGCCCTTCCCAGTAGAGCTAGCGTTTCGGAAACTTTCGTGGGATCTGAGGCAGTAGCAAGTGGTTGGGGATACTATTCTGATTCCACCGATACTATCAGCAATGTTTTGCGATATGTCAGTCTCCCCATTATACCAGCCAACGTCTGTGGTCAAATATTTTGGGACATTACAGAAAAAATAATTTGTTCTGGAGGAGCGAACAAAAAAGGGGTTTGCACTGGAGATTCAGGCGGACCACTTGTTATCAATGGAAGATTGGTAAATATATACACATATTTTTAATAACATTCAATCAATATATACAAAAGAAAATATATCTTTTCTTGTGCTTACAAAAATAGTTCTGTAATTCTGCAAAAGACTCACTGTATCTCTGTTTTTCTTTTTTTTTTAATTAAAAGTAAATAGACATACGAGAACCAACAATCTAATAAAATCATCATGATAATTACTGACATACAACACTGCTATTCCTTATTGTGTTTGTTACAGGTGGGTGTAACATCATATACGAGCTCTAATGGTTGTGAAGTTGGGGAGCCATCTGCCTATTCGAGGGTAACATCATTTTTAGATTGGATTGAAGCCAACAGTGATGTTGTTATTTCTTAAACGTTTCTTCAGCATTGAAACAAATATTGCAAATAAAATATTATTACTATTGTAAAATGTTTATCTACTTATGTATACTACATACGTAAAATATATAAGGCAGTAAAGGAATAGTTAATTATCATACCCGCCGGTTTTTAGCGCTTAACTCCAACCATAAACTTAACGTATAATCTTATGTTAACTACATACCATTTGGTAGGAATACGAAATACAAGAAACAAAAGGTTTTCAACATTGTTTGTGTAATAATAATACTACCGTGTTAATATTGCATTAGCATTTATGATAATCGCTACAAACGAAATTTGCCAAATGCCGGACATTTTTGTGCAAGCTAGATATAATTTTGGAAGATATCTTCAAGTTTGCCTTGTTTTTATTTTGAACAATTTTGTAGTGTACGTTCCCATGCATTTAGGTTTACTGGGGTTGTTCCCGGATCCGATAAACGGTCAGTTGTTTATGTTTACTTTAGGCGTTGGGCAACCGGCATTGTTTACATTCAACGTTCTCTGTTCTTGTCGCAATTCGTTGCACAACATGTACGTTACCAAATAACGCCCAGCACCAGCTATGGATTGCAAATTGTTGTGGTTTATTTGCAATGTTTTTGTTCCAAACCTACGCTGCTGCTCCAAACCTCAACACTTATTTCAGAAACACCCTGTATATGAGTAGAATGAACATCAACCCGAACAACAAGTCAGCAAAGTAAAGATACAAACACTTAAAATATGTCGGCAAAAGTGAATAGAGTGGATTACGTATGCTCCAACAAGGTCCACTTGTGTGGATATCTACTTGCTGAAAACGAATCCCGGCGTAGCCAACCTCAACGTGATAGGCACGTTAGCTTAATCGAATAANAACGCGGAGGCCGATTGTGCCTCTTTGTCGCTCGTTCCGCGCTCTCGCTTGCACTTCAAGCCTTAAATGGAACTCCTCAGAGCGAGGTAACGCCGCATGAGTCATGTTTTTTCGTGCGTGCAGCCGGCTCCATTGAATTATAAGACGTTGTCACGTCAAAAATTTGTAAGAAAACCAAAAGAACTTACAGAGAAATTCCGATAACAACTAAGCAGCTACATCGATGGAGAATGTACACAGTGACGGTTATGGACCAACTAACTAATAATGTAAATATCAATAGCTTACTACTATTGCTCTATTACACTTAATAAGACATTGCGACAAAAATTAATTAAAAAATTACTTTGTTCATCGTTGATAGTGTGCAGCATTATTCAAGTACACTTCGACATACACAAAACAAAAAAAAAATACCGTCACGTGATCATTAATAGGTAAATCAACACCCTCTGGATAGGTAATTTTAATTGTAAATTTCAAAACCACCATTGAAGTATTGTCAAGGTGCATTACCTTTTTTTACGTGTGGTTCGCGAATAGCCCTGTTCTCTCATTAGAAAGAATTAATTGCAACACTACTAAATTCACACACATACGTATGTACCTACACTACATAAATTGTGCGGAATTCGAATCCCGTGCTAATAAACAGGCCTCGAGGCGTCTACCAAAATTATTTCTGAGTTGCGCAAAAACGTTCAGCATTTTTTCGATCACGTGCCTATTCGTCTAGAAACTAACTTTTTGGTCAATGCGATACTACTATTTTACACTGGCCTACCTTCAGTGACTTCGCCTGACTACATATATACATACAAGCTTACAACGTTAAAACAAAAAACTGCTAAACTGCCTGTAACATAAATGTGGTTGATCATACTTCATCTAATCTAATAAATAACAAAAACTGCATAAGTACAAAAATACAAAAAAAATGCACGAATGCGCTGTTGAATTTTTGAATTCACTGTGTGATCGTATCAGGAGCAGACTAGCCATTACCTGTGCTTTCAAATATTTTCAAACATTTATTTAATTTCTTGCTGTATGTGCCCTATCTCCTCCAGCAAGCTTACTACTTATTTCAAAAACACCTTATATATAGATCGAAAAGCAATGTAAATTAACTAAACGTTAAGAAAAACAACTGCACATTGATCCTCTGGTCTACATTACCTGACATATGTCTGAATCAACAGTTAATAATGCAACAGCTTTATTCGTACTATGACGTTTTCTGGAATGCAAAAGAAAGGTATATAGATATATAGCAGACGTATTTTCATTAGTTGCATAAACACTTACAAATAATTTTTCTTTATTAAAATCTTTCATGTTGTAGTGATTTACTCCAATGTACAGATATTTATATTGACCGAACACCATGGCATAGAGATTTAGTCCATTGCTTAGCCACTAATACTGATGGGCGGACAGTCCCTCCAGACTACGCCGGAAGATAGGGCGGAAGGCCCTCTTCAGTCTCTTTTCAGGAAACGTGGGAATGGGTGGGTGATGGTTCAAGTGAGAAAGATGAAACGGACGAAATGAAGACAGAAGAGAATGAAAGATTATCTGTGGGATATTACTGCCCCAGCATTTACCTAAGTGATCCAAGGAAACCACAGAAAAACATGGACCAAGGCAGACGAACTCGGAATCGAACCGATGTCTCCTTGATGCTAAGCAATGAACTAAACCTCTAAGTCATACCGCTCAATTAGGATGGAACCAACTAAAGCTATGTAGACTTCATTCGACGAATATGCAGCTTTAAGTTGTAAAAGCATTGAGTCACTAAGCAAAATATTAGCTAGCATCTGTCTCACTCTGCAGGACAACTGATGTTGCGAACATAAATTCTACGACTAGTTTTAACACGGTAATAGGCTCTAACTCTCTTTGACACATTACTTCTGAAGAAGATAGAGAGCATTTGTGACGCTAATAATAATATTATAATGACTATGTCACATAGGTAAATAAAAACACCTACAATTTGTAATTTGACCACAACCATATTAAAAAAATATCACAAATTATGATAGAGTTAATATCGTCTATTACTACGAAGGAAACTCCATTACGAAGGGGTGGAGTATCTTTAGAGCTGTACCAATCATTTTGTAAATCATTCTGCAAGGTGCTTCTAAAATTATAGGAATGTATGGAGAATGTAATAGCTATTAACGAAACTGCACAAATGATTTTGTTGTAAACAATTTACAACTCATAAAATACATGTTGTAATTTAATAAAACTGACCTGTGTGTATAAAAAAATGTATTAGGTACAACAAAGCATTTAAGCTATTGCAACGCGCCTTGGCGAAATGGAGGTATACCCAGTCCTTCAAAACTGCTTCGGCCAATTTTCATGTAGAATTCGAAATGTAGTTTATGGACTACAGGCCTATATTCGCCGAATGAACTATAGCTGAAATTTTGTTATGCAAATATAAATGGATAATGTAGTTTGAACAAGCTATGTTGACATTCCGCATTAGCTTTCAAACTCTGTTTTCGAGAACGCCAACAAACTTTCCTAACTAGACAATTTAATTCCAGACAAAACCATTTCTGAGCCTGAGTAAACAACTTTTGCATTTATTGTGATAAAATATTTAAAAGTATTTAATAAATAGAATTACTGGCAGATTTAAGCAACACTAGCTTTAAAGTTTAACAAACAAAAGGGTGTCAACCAGATGTAATAGGGAATCGCATGGTGGGGACAACAGCGTGTTTACGAGACAAAAAAGTTGATGGAAAACGTAAACAATGCCGTTTCTCGATTGACTAAAATATCATCATCATCATAGTCGTCAGTCCTAAGACTGCTTGGACTCATACTTCCACTCTTTCCTATCCGCAGTTTAACCTTCGCATTTCCCTAAAACTAGAACAACCCACATCCTTAACTATTTGCGAACAGTAATCTAATCTAGGTCTACCTCTACCCTTCCAAACTTCCGTTTCTGCCTCTAATATTTCTCTGACTAGACCTTCATGCCTGAGAAGGTGTCCTACCAACCTATCTCGCCTATTTCTTATTGACTTCCATAGAGGCCCCTGTTCTCCTATTCTTTCCAATACCTTCTCATTTCTAACCTTTTCTACCCACGTTATCCTCATCATCCGCCTATAACACCACATTTCGAACGCTTCTAACCTTTTTTTTCCGCCGCGCCCACTGTCCATGTTTTGCACCCGTACAACGCCGTGCTCCAAAGTTACACCTTTAACAACCTTTTTCGAATTTGTAAATTAATCGAGCATAGAAGTAACTTCTTTTTATCGAAGCTGACTCGACCCTACACTATCCTATACTTTATATCCCTACTACTCCTTCCGTCCTGAATTATCTGACTTCCTAGATATCCACAATCGGCCACTTCTTCTAATTTTTCGTCTCCTATCTTTATATCCACTCGTTCCCTACTTTTTGTTTTCCTTTTATGTATTTTCATACAATATTGTTTTGTCAATACCGCTTCCATTTTATTTAAAGCTATCTCTAGGTCGTCCTTGCTAGATGCTAATACTGCTATCATCTGCAAATCTAAGAATACTAATCTTTTCCCCCTGCATTTCTATCTCTACAGTACTATTTAAATTACACTTTACTATGTGATTACACAAAAGGAACAAAAAAATTATTTTTATGGACAAATTTCCACGCCATCTTTGAGGTATTTCCAAGGCTCGTTTCCTTTCTTACACAGTACACACACGCACATCCATACACTAAAATTGCTCGAAATTTGAATCCCATTCTAGAAGACAGGCATAGGACGTCTACCAAAACTACTTTTCAATCGAGCGGTTATGCTATTTTATCTCTTAATTTCTTTTTCTTCATGCACTTGATGAAGGAAACATGATGACAAGATTCTAATTTAACCTTGTCTTTTATTTCGTATTTTTAATTATCAAAAGCTAATTACTATTTTAAGAGCATATGATACATACACACACATTTCCGGTTGCGATAATAGTATCAGTTCCACTTGAACGTAAATATCACAGAACAAAATTTTTTTTTATTGTTACGCATTTACGTTTTTGCTATTGACTGTAATTATTCTCATTATCCTTAAACTTAATTAACGT